AGTGCAGTGAAGGGAATGGGGGCGAGAGAGCGAGCAGTGAGAGAGTGAGAGAGAGAGAGAGAGAGAGGGGGGGGGAAGAAGGGGTCCTCTCTTCGCCAATCACACTCTGCGAAATAACGGAGATTAACTATGCCGTAACTAATACAAAATAAATATTTTCTGAACCAGCAACCCCTTGGAAGTAATTAATTTTACCGCCTCCCTCGTCCTTGCCTCTCTCTTTCTCTTCTCTCTTAGCCGCGGCAGTCAGGGTCCGGCTCGGGCTGCGATGCGCGAGCCCCGCAGTCTCACTCTTCCCCGCTGTTGCTGCTCATCTGTCTTTGCATGCGGCCCTCCCCTCCTCCACCTATACCCCACCCCTTCCCGTTCCAGTTCCCACACTTCCTTCCTCCACATTCCTGTCGTCAAATTTCACCTGACTCAGTGCTATACGCTCGTTTGCGTCCCTATACGGCGAATGTCAGCGAATGCCACCGCCCCAATTCATCTCGGCTTCTCATGACACACGAGGTTTCCAGAATCCCAACCTCGATCCCACCCAACACTGCTGCTGTTTCAAGGTCCTCCGGCAAACGGTCTTTTTGCCATATTGTGTTAAATAAATCCATCTTTAGCTCTAGAACGTTTTAAGGTCAGTCACATTTAAAGGGTTTTGGTTCAGAAAGTGTTTTCATATACTCCCGCTACGAGTTTTCGATTTTCTTGTAAGTCTTTGAGTATATGTACATATTGTAGAAACTTGTTTTCGCGTTATTTTTGTACCTGCGCCTCCACCCTTAGGTAGAGCCAAACGTCTAAATTTTGGTCAAAAGCGGTCTACTTTGACGAAAAGTTACCCTAGTGCACACTAGGCGTTTCGCGGTGTCCATGAATGACCCTCAAGCGCTCTGAGGTGCCCTGGCTCTCTATGACCCCTCTCCATAAACATTCGTGTGATTTTTTTCCTAGCGACGTTGCGCTGACATAGCCCTCGGGCTGCGCAATTTTAGCCGGGCACGAAAATTGGATGCAGCAGCTTTGCGAAACTGTCATAATTTCCCGATTTCGGTTGCAGCGGACATGTGTAATAAGCATCCAGGCACCCGACGGGCGAGCGCCGGTGTGTCGCAGCGAGTCGCAGGGAGAGGGGAGAGGGGGAAGCTTATTAAGGATTTATTTCCAGGTCTCTGCTATTTCAGTCAGGATATAGGAGAGCACGCGGAAAAGGGGGCTGTCATGAGGGGAATAACTGGCTGCTGGAGAATAAAAAACAAGACAGAAGTAATAAATACATAAAATAAGTCTTTTATTACACAAGTCTTGGGTTTAGCGCTGGTACATTAGTCTCTGACATATGGTAACGTGTTAACTGGGATTAATGACATGGACGGCAGGACGGGCCCGGTGGGTAGCGTTAGTAAGTGGCTACGACTGGGAACGTGTGTGTGTGATAGAGAGAGAGAGAGAGAGAGAGAGAGAGAGAGAGAGAGAGAGAGAGAGGAGGCTTCATGTATGGGTGTATGGGTCAGGATCTGTTTTCGGTCTCCGGACACGAGCCGGCTGTGCGCTACAGTGGCAGAATCACACATGCTCATACCGTTTTATAAAACGGTATCACACCGCATACAAGACGCTTTGTTTTGGCCAGGGGTGATCTCACATTACGATGTTTGCTAATCGACTAGATGAAGTATCTCCCGGTCTTAGGCGCTCCAGCCACCAATTGTTGCAAGGTGAGCAGAAGTACTGATGAGAGACGACGATGGCAACCTCTGATATTGCTCCCAAGCAGCCGCGAGCTCACCACCGCGGCCACTGCCGACAGCCAGTGTGTTAGGAGGGTTTGCTCTTGGCGGTGTTTCCGGGGGCGGTGGCCGTCCTCCGGACGGGCGGCGGCGTGCTCGGGGCCGCGCCGGGGGCGGCAGGCAGCCCGTGGCCCGACAGCGGCCTGGCCGTGGGGGTGACGCTGCGCGCGCGCCGCCCCTTGAGCGAGTTGTAGGGCGAGCTGCCCCGGGAGAAGTGCTCCTGCGCGTAGAGCAGCACGCCGATGTCCCGGTGCCCGGCCTCCATCGCGATGCTCAGCGCCGTGCTGCCGTCCTGCGGGCAGAGGAAGAAACATGTCAGAAACAGGAAGATACATTTTGCACAATTGGAAGAAAGACTTTTGTGGTGCAATTTGACAAAACATTCCATTGTTAAAATCATAGCCGGCTTTAGAATTTTTATAAAATTGAATTTCACGACGGTAAAAGTCCGTGGGGTGGGGCCTCGCAGTCACCTGCTTAGTCTGGTGAAGGGCCAAAAATGTTATCCGTTATCCTTCGTATTGTTTTCAATTTACAATGTTTTAGGAACGCAAATTGCAAATTAAAACGATTTTTGGCGGGTTTACTTGCAAACACAGTCGGAGGACTAAAATTCTTTCCACCATAGGACCGGGGTGGAGGGAGGGGGGTGTATTATACTATTTGGCCGAGGCTGCATTCGCTCCCGGCGACAACAACGAAGGGAGTGTACGCCAGTAGTATGTGGGCAGCCTACTCTCGACGGCAGAATCGCAGAAAATTTAATTTGCTGCGGTCATGCCGGGCAGCAAGGGCCGTGGAGGCCGGGCAGAGTGGGAGGGGAACGAGGAATGGGGAAAGGCGACCCACCACCGAGCGGGCCGTGAGCGTTCCTGAACAATTATGTGAGAGACGAGCGCCGACCTGAGTATGGCAGAAGTCTGCCGCACGGGGCTGACAATCGAGAGACGGGATCGTCGCGGAATGCGATGTCCAAACGAAGAATGTGTCCGAGAAACTATATTGTGGGCCGAATAAACTGCCATGTCGGCCCCCCTGGCCTGGAAGTTTCTCCCCCTCCCCTTCTTCCGCCAAGTCTTTGAGGGGGTTGAGACAACAGCTGCAGCGGGGCAGGCGCCAGAGAGCCCAGCCCGGGCACAGCCCAGACAATAATACTTTGATCATAAGAGGTTGACGGAACAGTACGGCTGGCTCTTTGGAATCGGCACGGAGGGCGTCCGCACGGCGCGCGGGGCACCCTCTCGCTCCGCGCCTGCTCCGCCCGGCGGGCCGCCGGAGCCACTGCTCGCACGCGGCCCGGCCCGTCAGAACACAGGGAGATGAAAACGGGGCAGGACTAGACGTCAGAACGCTCTGCAACGCGCTCTGCAGAGGGTGGGGGAGGCTCTATATAGAGACGTAGTCGCAGGTGACGAGGCACTGGGCAGAGACGGCTGACAGCCGGCCTGGCCGAGTCGAGACGGAGTCGAGAGGGGAAAGAAGGGTCCGAGCGAACGGCCGAGCCCCGAACCGACTCGCCGAACAGCGTAGCGGAGCCGAACAAAGAACGGACGTCATCTAGAGGGACTCGAGTGCCAGGGGCCTGAGGAGGGCCGCAAGTTCATGGCCTCCCTATAGTTACCATGGATCCGCACGGATCGTTGGAAAGCTCGCGGTTCAGCGTGACTGAATTTAAGCACGATGTAGTGAGCCTGCATCGTGATTTAAGGTAAGGTGTGGTAATGAACGATTCTTTCTTATTGTTTTAAACGAAATCATGAAATACAGGTGGGGGTAGTTTTCGAATCAGATTTGCATGCATTTTTGAAGTGATTTCGGCTGGTCCCTGTGCCCATTTTCTTTCTTAATATGCCGAGAGCTGCGAGAGCGGAAGGGGTTGTCCGCATATTACGTCACGCGATTTTTGGCACTTATCCCCCCCCCCCCCCGGTCATCCAGCTAACCTAACGCTCCAATAGTTTTTGTATAGGACATTCACCCGTCACGCTGTCCTAGACCCAAACAGGCAACTCCAACCCGCATGCCTCGAGTTGACTTGAACGACAGCGAGCCCACCATTGGCCGCAGTACAAGAGCTCCGTAAGACTGCAAACAGGATAGGGTGCTGTGGTCGCCCTCAGTCTGTATGTAGTCCTCTTGGAGAACATTAGATCCCGCTGAGCCGATCTTCGACCTTTCGAGCCAAGGAGACTTTTAGTCTTACCCACCTCCCCCGCCCCGCCACGCCCGCCACGCCCTCCGCGGAACAGCTCGGCGGCGCCCAGCTTAAACTGACTCGACTGTTCCGGATGTCAAGGCCGCGCCACGCGGGAGCAGCAATCTCGTCAAGATATCGTAGCGACCCGCCCTTGGCCGGGCCGGGCCAGACCGGGCCGGGGAAGGGTTGAACGGCGCGGGGCGGGAGGGGCGGAATGTCTTCCTCCATGTGGCCCCGGCCGTACAGTCGCAGCCCCGCTGCGCTCCGCTGTGCTGCTGCCGCTGCCTGCTGCCCCCAGCGCCACGCCAGTCAAGATGGATTGCCGATAATGTGAGACCCACGGCGTAGCAAGTCATCAAAAAACATTTCGCCCTCGCGGGGAGAGGGAGGGGAAAAGGGTTGCGCACGCGTGTTGGAGGAAATAGGCACAAGATAATGTTGGGCGGGCGAGGCGGGCCCGACGTGAGCGAGGCGGAGCGAGGGGTACATACTAAACACGGACATCATCACGCCAAACTCCGGAGCAGGCCGGGCAGGCGGCGGCAGGGACGGCAGGGCGGGCGGCGGTCAGAACTTTGCGACCAGTGCTGCGACCCGTGTAGGCCCGCCCCCGCCCCCCACCCCCGCGTACACAGCGATCGGATCCCCACGACAAATATGTTGCACATGAGGGCTGGGGCGGCTGGGGCCGCTGGGGCGGCTGGGGCCGCTGGGGGGCGCGGGGACCCTGGCCCCGGGCACAAGGCGGGCACAACACTGGGGCCCATTGTTTAGGGTTACTCGGGGTCGCTTTATTCCAGTCAATGGAAGGGGCGGGCATGAATTGTGGGAGTAGGGAGGGGGGGCGGAGGGGGAAAAGGGCCTCCAAGGGGTCAACGACGGTCGAATTTCATCCCAGTCAGCTAGGCAGCAACGCGCGGCAAGCTATCCAACAAGCTCATTTATGCAAATTAAGCCTTCCCCTCGCTCACCCCCTTGACCTCCGCCGTGGTCCGTGGTGTGCCTTTCCGCCTCCAGCCTCCGCCTGCCCCGGCGGCCGACAGAGTGCGCCAGCAGCGCTTCCGGTAGGACGAGGCATTTAGTCGGATTATTTGTTAAAGTTCTCTCTCTCTCTCTCTCTCTCTCTCTGAACCTCCCCACCCCTTTCCCTCGGTCCCCACCGCTCTCCGTTCGCCCTCACTCTTCCCCTTTTCTTTTGTTCTTTACTCTTTCTTTTGCCCCCCCTCTCTCTCTCTCTCTGAGAAAAAAGCTCCATATTGTAAGCAACCTGGCGCGACACTTTGTTGAATTCATTTGCGCCCACTTCCTCTCCAGGCCGCTCCTCCTGCTCCCGCCTCTCCCCCGCAAAGGCCCCGCTCGCTGCCCGAACGCGGTTCAATACCGCAAAAGCTTCCTCCTCCTCTCCTCTCCTGGCAAGGAAAAATACCGAAATTTTGCTTTCTTTCCCCCGTCTTTAAATAGATGCTCCCCGCGCTTTACAGGCCCGCCGGGGCGGAAGAGAAAAGGAAGAGAAGGGAAGGGGTTGGGTGAAAGGCGTTACGCCGCGCGTTACGTTACGCTGCGGCTACGCGACCGGAAAATGAGAAAAAGTCTCTGCGGTCCAGAAATCACCCCCGCAAACGGGGCTGGAAAATAAAACAACAGAGAAAAGCGTTCTCCTTTACACGGACAAGTACTTTAGCAAACATAAGACACTGCGTGATGCGGCGGGTCTGTAGGGAGTCCTTGCGGCTGCAGCAGTCCAGTTCGGCTGCCCCGAGGTGCCACTAGGCTGCACTAGCAGCTGCAGCAGCCCGGCTCGGCTGCCACTATCTTGCCGTCGCAGCTGCAGCTGCCCTGCGCGGCTGCCACTACCTTGCCGTCGCAGCTCCAGCTGCCCCGCGCGGCTGCCCCAAGGGCTGCCCTCACCACTCTCTCACATCGGCGCTGTGTACCCACCCCGTTAGCGCCGCCGCCGCCACCCAGGTCGGGACCAACTTCCTGGAATGTCTCTTATTATTTTCACTCCCACTTCACAAATCCATCCCAAACCCGCCGGGCCCGGCACGAGCGCAGCCGGGTGTGTTGTAGTCTCGTTTGGAAACTTGTTAACCAACCTCCCCTCTACTCTGGACCGCGGACCTGTGAGTGGCGCACGGGTTCACCGTACAGCAGCTTCATATCAGATCAACTTCAATGAGGGCTGTCTGCTTGTTCATGGTGAACTGGAGTCACTCGCAGAGGATTTTCCGACTAAAACATGCTGCGCCCCACTGTTAAATTCCTGCGAAGTATTTTACTCCTTTGTAACTACGAAGCGTTTACTTCGCAAGTGATGCTTTGCAATTACGAAGTGACACTTTGCAATTGCAAAGCGATGCTTTGCAGCGTTTTCATTGCTTCGCAATTGCAAAGCATCACTTTGTAATTGCAAAGTAAATGCTTCGTAGTTCTTCGCTGGACACAAAACTGCACTTTCCTTTCATTCACGTGTTAGAGTACGTGGGGTGATTTTACGTTCCGACAAAATAATATTTTGTCGGAACGTAAAATTTTGAGGCTAAATCATAGTCACCTGTAGGTCCCGGTTACGTGTCTGTAAAGTTGAAGTGGAAGAACGTAATCTGAGTGGACGAACTCCATCCTCTTGGTCCACCTCACCTTGAGGTGGTACATGGATGCAAGGTGGATGCGGGGTGTTGGTTGTCACGCGGTTAGGTCACACTAGGTTGGACCATACCCTGTCTGCCAGCTTGTGCCGCTCAGATCAGCAGTGGGTTGCTCTCGCGGTTCGAAATCCCCTGCGCGGCGCAGACCTTATATCACTGTTTTTCGTCCAGTTTATTTTCCCTTTCCTTCTTTTCCTCGCCCGCACGTCGGCAATAAGAGACTGTGTGTGTGGGTTTGGGGGCGAGGAAAGAACGGAGGAGGAAGGGGGTGGGGGAGGTTTCTGGGCCGGTGAGCTTAGCGAGGTGCAGCGGCAACACGGAGGGGCAAAGGGCTGGCACGGG